TCATGACAATAAACGCCTTGAAAATAAGTATTACTAATCACCATTTAGTAACATCAACATGTTTCTCAATAATTTGATGTCATCGACCCAAACAGGAAACTCAAAAGCGGAAACTCTCCCTTCAGATTACATTTTTTTTTTTATTTCCCATGGAAATTAGCAGCATTTCACATCAGATTTTTTTTCTTTTTGGCAATGACAAAATTCACATCACTGAACACTCTGTTTAATATTTCTTGTCCTGCAGCTTAACAGATTTGTGTAGAACAGTAGATTCCTGATGCCGTCTCCAACCATATCAGCACCCAAGTATTTTTTGGCTTCTGTGCTCTGCAGTTCCTTTTTTTAATGTTTGAATTTTAATGTGGAGCATTCAGTTTCACTTAAGAAAGTGGATTCTTCGGTCTATTTGTTGTGGACGGCTTATAGGTTCTTCCTCCGCCTTACTACTGGTACTTATTCTGGTTAACTTAAAAAAGAGCCCGGGTCCTGGTTCTGCTGGTCTTACAATTAATACAGTTGTTAGGAGCTTCATTTCAATTGCAATGCAGAGTTTTAGGTCATATTGTCCAAACTAAGATTTTATTTTCCTTTTTGCAGGATGGTAGTGGGTACGGTAATGAGACCTGGATTATCTGTAGTAGGAGGCATCACAAGCTGGGCTGGAATGTCCACCTGTGTACACGGTTTGGTGTCAAATCGTGCCCATTATTGAATTCTCGTCATTAAAATCTGTCATTCTTTTAGGATTCCTTCTCAGGATGTTATTGAATCTGCTCATCTTCATTGCAGCAGTGAATAAATAGACATCAGCGAATTTGACAGGAAAAACATGGGAAATTACACCGCAAGGACCCCTGGGTAACGGACCGTTCCTAACAAAGCTAGGGCTAACTTTATGTGCTGTGCTTTAGATATCATGTTGGTGATTTTAAAATAGCTGTTTTATACAGAACATGACTAATGTATTTCACATAATTACTAGTGTTGCATTGATACCAGTATCAGGCGGGGCCCCGATCCAGCAAATAGGGCACCGATGCAAGTTTCAGAGCCAAAAGTTTATTCAACTACTGTCACCCATTCCAGGTAGGCAATAAAAAGTTCTACTGGATTCACTTTGTATTAGTCTTTTTCCTGCTTCACAAAGGAAGGCAGCAGCTTGACAAAGCAATGATGGCAATTATTTTACATCCAAGTAGTATGCAGTTCCTGATATATACACACATCAATTTCAAACAAATGGTACCAGTATTGGCCAATTCTACACAGCCAGTAATCGGTATTGGGGCCAAAAATGGCATCGGTGCAACACTAATAATTACTAATAAAGTGATCATTAAAAACTGTGTTACAGTCTCTGACCTATAGGGGCTTTCTTCATGAGAGAGCTATATCTCTGTGTTTCAGTTGTGGCTAACACAGGTGCAATATGTTAGAGCTGGTCAGAAACCCTATAAAGAGCTTCATACCAAACTGTATTCACACTGGGTTGATACTGTCTCGCAGAATACTGACACCTGCTGGACCTTTAAAAACACTACAGGCATCTTATTTGATTTTATGATATATATATATGTTTAAATTGAAGATATTTTTAGATGCAGTCAATAAATAATGTAAACATATAATGTGAAAACTCAGCGGAAGCTGTGAATGTGGATGCTTGTGGACTAGGATTTAGAATCATATTTTTAAGATGATAAGTACATGAAAAACAGTAAATAAAATAAGAGTCCATTTGAAATTTTAATTAAGATAAGTTGAGCGATAACTGAAAATCAAATAAAACGCAATGGCTGACACGTTCCCATTCCTTTTAGGCTGCTCCAAAATTGTTGATAATTGTAATGATAAAACTGAAAAGATGAGACATTTTTTCAGCAGATGCATCATGTTGACAGATCAGTTTTTAAACACAGTTTAGTGAGTCAGTCCAACAACTCCTGTATCAGTTACATGTCTT